CTAACAGGCTAATGGGCTAACTAGCTAACAGGCTAATGGGCTAACAGATTAACTAATTTACAGGCTATTAGCCCATTAGTTTGTTAGCTAGTTAGCCTGTTAGCTAGTTAGCCCGTTAGTTGCGTTCATGTTCCTCACAAACGGCCGGTTGTTCCGCCGCCTCTGACGGTCTCATGTTGATGATGTCATCCTCAGGTTGTCATGGGAAATGCAGACAGTACCAGCACCTTCGTGTCTCCGGTCAAACCCTCGTTCGGGTTCTCCAAGAAGGAAGATGTTCCTTCAGCCCGCAGCTGGTGGAGCACCAGGAGCTGGGGGCGGAGCTACCAGAGCCAGAACGCCTCCTGGCGTTATGAGTCCAGACCCACGGCAGCTCAAGGGAGCCCCAAGCTGAGCTCTGGTTCTCCTCTGAGGTTCTACAGAGGGGAGCGGGCTCAGGGCGGCCGCAGGAGTCCGTTTGGATACCGAGGGAGCGACTGTGAGCAAACGTCTCTAGAGAGTGGCGATGGCGGCAGCCTGAAGGTGCTGCCCAGGAAAGATGGCAGCTTGATGGTGGCGTTCACCAGCGCCAGGGCGGTCCCCGTCGAGCCACAGGGTCCTTTGCTCGGCGCCGCTCCAGAACCGTCTCTTCGCACCAGTAAAGGCAGCTCGCTCAGCTCAGACGGCTCCTGGTACGACTCACCGTGGGGCACCGGCGGCGAGCTGACCGACAACATGATCGTCTGTGGGCGGAGTCTCGACAACAGCAGCGGCTACAACACTTTCTCCTCCACTCGGGTGGAGGACATTTCACCGGAGTTTAGCTCCGCCCACCTTTTTCAAACCACAGCCTACAACAGCTGCTCCTCCGGCCGCACCGATGACAGCGGCATCGGAGACTCTGTGATCCTGCAGCCGGACCTCCAAGACCTGGACCTGGTCCCACCACCTGGTTTCTACAGCCGCCACATCACGCCGCCCGCCTTTCCGACTTCACCCGAAACAGTAACTACCGAGTCCGACTCGTTTTCCACCGCATTTGAGACCTGCTTCCAGCAGGAGCTAGCAAACTCCGCCTCCTTTTCCTCGACACTGGATGATGTCATGGTCAGAGGTGCAGAGCCACAATACTCCGCCTTCACGCTGCCCTGCCGCAGAGTTGAGGTTGGAAGCTCCGCCTCCACGCTGCCCTGCCGCAAAGTTG